TCTAATTTCCCTGTCTTCCCTCCCTCCCCTCCTACACTCAAAAGTATATCAGAGTTTATTAGGCAGACAAGGTTCTTTGGGTAGATGTGGTATCTTTTATTAGACCAACTAAATATTTGGGAAAAGGGTCTCATAAAAGATATCACACCTACCCAAAGAACCTTGTCTGCCTGTGTCCTTAAAGCAACACAGCTACAACCAGAAACCTCAGCGTTTATTAGGTCTTCACTTTAAAGTTTAACAGTGTGTGTTTGTTTTTATAACATTCCAGTGCTTTCACTGTCAGCGGTTGACAATGAAAATTAAATATACAATTGTCTCTCCCAGCATTGTTGCTGAAAGATGTGTGAGAACTTAAATGTGACAGCATAACTTTATGCTGTTCTAGAATCAGTCGCTAGAGGGAGCATATGTTAAGTCAAAATCCCTGGGCATTACTAGTAAAGGAGATCATCAGGAAGTGAATGAAAATATTGCATGACATTTTTAGCCTTAATAAGAGATTAGAAGATGGAGATGTTCATGTGGAACCTTATTTATGATTTTTATTTTATTTATATGCTGCCCATCCCAGAAAAGGCTCAGGGCTATAAAATGAAGAAACTGTTCTCCAGGTCTACTGTATATTTCAATTAATATGTTGTCCAGTAACCCCTTCAAAGGTAAGTGGAGCAGCATATTGATTGAGCAATGTAGCTTTTGTAGGCAAACACATTTGAAATAAAAGAGCCAGGTTTTCAAATGTTTTCAGGCATCTGATAGGTTTTTCTAAACCATATAGTGCCTAATTAATGGAAATTGGGCGCTGTTGAAAATCCTGCTAGGCATCTCTTTATCTAAGTTCCTAAATGTCATTGATGTTTCTGGGAGAACCAGTCCAAAGACAACTTTCACCATAATTGGCTTACTCTTACTCAAAATGTAATGTGTCATATGATGGCATTGGAGTATTGTTGAATATGTTTATGTATTTTGTTGTACATATATTTAAAGAGCATTTGTTGGGAGCCGTTCAGTTTAACAGCTTGGCCTGTCCTGCAAATTGTAATTTCCATTGCTTCATTAAAAGAAACAGATGTGACATTTGGATCAAAAGCCCCTGAGAAATTGTGGAGACAAATTCTGTGCCCAAATGTTGGTTAACATCCCTTCAAGTAAAGGGATTTGGAAAATCAGTGGACATGCAGTTACAAAGTCTTTCTGCTTGATTTGTGAAGGGAAAGTGGAGTGTCTCTCAGCAAGCTCTGGCAAGAGTTTATAAGCAGTGACAGCCATTGTCAGTACCAGAGTATTGTATGGCCAGGCAATGCCGTACAGTAGACTTTTTCAAAGATCGATACTGCAGAATGGTATGAGCCTGTAAAACTGTGCAAAATGATGAAGCCTTAAGAATATCTTTTTTAATTGATATTTTTCATAGCTTTGCAAAGGAAAGAAGTGTCTTTAACTTAATTTTACAGATAACACCTTGTTATGGGTTGAATTTTTTTGAAAAATAAGGAGTAAGGGTGCACTGATACAAGATTTTTTGGGCCAATACTGATGGCCAGTTTGTTAACGAGTTAATTAACAGAGTGATGAAATGCTTGATTTGTCTAATGTGAAACTGTACTTTTTCTGAAATGCAGAAGTTGTAGGACTATGCAGAATCACTTTCCTTGACTTTTTGCCCATGTAAATCATATTCATAGGATCATAGGGTAGGTCCGGAAGGGACCTCACAAGGTCATCTAGTTCAGCCCCTTGCTAGGCAGGATCATGCTTAACTAAACCATCCCAGCCAAGTGGCTATCCAGCCTGCTCTTGAAAAAGTCCAGGAATGGAGTTTCCACGGTTTCTCTAGGTAGCCTATTCCAATGCTTGACCCTCGTAGTGAGAAGGTTCTTTCTAATCTCCAACCCAAACTTGCTCTATGGTCCCAAACAGAAGTCCATCTTCATCCTCTCTGTAATTATCCTTTAGGTATTTGAAAAGTGTTGTCAAATCCCCACTCAGTCTTCTCTTCCCCAAACTAAATAACCCTAGTTCTTTCAGTATTTCCTCATAAGCAAGGATCCTGGTTTTCCCTGATGAAAAATACCAAATTCTCTGCTAAAGCCCCTAAAATCTATATTTAAAATTAACACCCCCCCCCACCCTGGCTCTGCTGGTGCCCCTCACTCCTTTCCCCCCCCCCGCTCCACCAGCAAGGCCAGAGGGGGTCTCCAGCTACCAGGGCTACAGACCCGGGTCTGCAGCCCCCTGCCCCCGCTCCCTGTGCATGGGTCTACAGTGAGGGAAGCGGCTTCCTCCTGCTGTGGATTTAGGCAGGCCAGCTCTTGGCTGCTGTGCACACTCCCAGGGGGCAGGGAGGACCCATGCCTCTGAGATCTGTACCTGGGGCAAGCACAGGCTCCAGGCCCAAGCGCACTGCAGCCCCGTCTGAGGAGGTGTCTCAAGGGTAGCAGGGGCGGGGGGGAGCAGCACCGAGGAGATCCCTGTGTGGCTCTGCTGCTGCCTGCTGTGCCAGGTCATGCCCACTGGGCTCCAGATGCCCTGGGGGAGGGAAGTAGGGCGGGGGGGAGCAGCAAGTAGCAGCTCCTCTGTGTCCCTCCACTGTTCCTGCTGCCCTGCTTCCCTCCCCCTGGGCCTCCAGAGCCCGGCAGGCACAACCCAGAGTGCCAGGCAACAGCAGAGTTGTGCAGGGATCTCCTTGCAGCTGCTTGCCCC